CTATAAGTAATATGTTAAAAATTAACACTGATCAAATTAATGATGGGGGAAAAAATTACAAGCAAAAACCAACTACCCAAACAACAACAACAAAAAAACCCACTACATGATGTCTCACATACGTTACAGATTATTTGGTCCAAAATTTAAAGAATTAAATCATAAACATCTATCATATTGATAAACATTTATGTAATATTCATTCAGTCTACTAGTATTTTAAAGGAGTGCAATGAAGCAAAAAGATTTTAGCTAAGTGTTGGTTTTTAAAGGCTGAGTAGATAAATCATCATAAAAGTTCCCTTCTAAACTTTATTTCCTGGAGGAACCAACAGAAATTACAACATTAAGGAGCAGAAGTTGAAGAATCAACACAATAAAACTGGTTTTCATGACATCTACCACATTTTTTTTCGAATTACTGAAGAAGCTGGCTTGATAAGCTCCAACAAGATAAATGCCATTTCGATGAGCTGTCGACTAAATGTGCCTCAGATAGCATCTAATAAAGGCATTGAAATTACAACCATGCCCATGAGCAAGGCAATCAATGTCAGAGCAACTGTGTGGTGGTTCACAGCAGACACCAAGCTCACACATTTACTCCACAGAGGTGTCAGATTTATCGGGAACAGTGATTTGGCCAAAACCACAAGCCATCATGTCCTCTGCTGACATACAGTTATCATCATTATCTATTTGAGCAAATTTACACTTGGATCAACAGTAAAGCACATTTAGACAATAAGAATATTATCTGTTTTTTCTTCACTGGCCCTGGAACGAGGCGCACGCACGCTTTCTCTTCCCTCTCCTTGCTCTCCTCCTGCATTTTGCTCTCGGTCTGTGCATAGGAACTCCTATTTTTACACATCTTCCAAAATGAAAACTACTGTTTTGGATCTGACCAACTGGACTTTCGACACAAATGACAATCTTTTCAACAAAGCGACAGGGTCCTGGAGAACCCTCATCTGATTGGACGACACATGCAGCTGGATATATATCTGGGGAAGTGGAAAGTGATGTGTCCACCTCAGCTGTCGATCGAGGACGCCGAAATTGCATATAATTGGATTTGTGATAACAGGTTACCTGTTTTTTGAATTCTAAAAAAGTTAAATCTGGTCCTCTGGACATTCAAAAAAAACAAAA